TGTGACCTGTCTGCGGGCCGGTGCCGTGTGACCGGTCTGCGGGCTGGGGTGGTGTGGGGGACACATCAGTGGGCTGAGCACAGGAGACTCAGGAGATGGTGAGGGCCAGGCCGGAACTGTCCTGCTCTTGAGGCGTCTGTGCTGAGGGGACAAAGGCCGACCCCGCCTCGGGCCTGGGAGGTGCTGTGGCAGCTCCCCAGGCCGTGTCCCCGCCATGGATGGAGACAATGACCGCACAGCCACCGCGCCCAGAGGCCCTGGGCGTCGAATCATGGCACCAAGTCTGGCTGCTGCATGAGGTCCCCTGGTGTACCTGACCTACCCTCTGGGACTCCCCCAACTACCCGTAGGACACCGCCCACCTCTGTCCCTTACAACTGGGCCTGATGGCTGGGCCCAGTGCCTGTGTCTGCCAACCCCCTGGGGAGGCAGAGCTGGACTCACCTTCCTTCTGATTTCAGGGGGCTCTGGGCCCGCAAGGCCCTCCCGGGGCCCCTGGCATCCGAGGCTTCCAGGTGGGTGAGGTTTGGGGCCAGGGTTTGTGCCCAGTGAGCCCAGGTGGGCCAGCTGGGCAGGGAGGGCCCCTGCTGGGCTCCCTGTGGGTGCTGACCAGCTGGTCTTTGTCTGTAGGGCTGGAAGGGTAGCCTGGGGGACCCTGGCCTGCCAGGCCCCCAGGGCCTCCGCGGCAGCGTGGGCGACCGGGTAAGTGGCTGTCCTTGCAGGGGTGCTGAGCATCCTGGGCACAGGGTCACCTGACTCTGAAATAAGCATGAGGGCCATCACTCTCCACCACTGGGCTGCACTGTGGCCAGCTCTCCTAGACTCCCTGAGTGGCCTTGTGACACCAGTAGGTTCGCTTGGGGGTCCCTCCTGTCCATGACAGTGGGGCACAGAGGGTCCCAGGCCGGCTGGGACCAGATGACAAGGTGCCTGAAGGACCTCTGGGAGGAGGCTGTGGCTTGCCCGGCCATGCCACACCAGGTCTGTGGGAGCCCTGAGCATCTTCCTCGGCCCTCCGCCACGCTCCACCGGGGGCTCCTCAGACATGTACCCCAGGCCCTGGGAAGGACACCCCTGCCTCCAGACATCGCTGCGCCCTGGGAGGCCGGGAGCCACCACCCGACATGCTGGGGACACATGAAACCACTGGCCTGTGGTGCAGACAACAGCCCTTCATTAGCGTCCAGGGGGAAGCTCCGGGGGCAGGATGCCCCCCAGCACCGGGACTCTGAGGGGGAGGCTGAGCCTCAAGAACTTCTGCAGCGGCCCTCCCTGTGGTCCAGTTGTCCACGGGCAGTCTCAGACTTCCTGCAGTTTGGTTCTCAGGCTGCTATTGAGCAGATGGACCATTTGCATGTAGATGTTGTAGGGGCCACCTCACAGTTCCCAGCAGGGCCCAGCCTCTGCCTGGGGGGCTCCGGAGCCTCTGACTCAGCAATCCCACGGTGAGATCAGCCCAGGACTGAGTGTGTGGAGGGTTAGAAACAAGACCAAATTAGCGGCGCCTGGGAAGCAGTGGAGCCATGCTGCGGAGCCCCTAGGAGACAGGCGGTTGGTGGCATGGGAAGATCCTGAGGCCTCGAGGGGACACGCACGGAGAGGGCACACACGAGCCTAGCTTTGGGACTGAGCGTCAGGGAGGGAGCACACACCTTCGCTTCCCTAATTCCTCTGACTCCGAGCCTTCTCTCTGCAGGGCCCGGGAGGAGCCACAGGCCCCAAGGGAGATGAGGTGAGCTGCCTGTCCCACTCTGAGCTCCGGGCAGTGGCCGCCTTTCATCTCCTTCCTCCATCTCTGCCCTTGGCCCTCACTTGCTCCTCTCTCCCTCCCAGCTTCGAGACAGCTCTGGGCACCCGGCCCCAGAGCCAGACCTGGGCTGGCTCCCAGGTCCGCAGTAGCCGCCTCTGGGACCCTCTCGGGAGGGGGTGTTCCCTGCCGACCTGGGAAGTGGTGGGGGCAGGTCTAGGTTCCCCTTGCTTTTCCAGGCAGCATTTTCTCCCTGGAACCTCGGGGGTGGATGGGCCTGCACTCCTGCCTCTGCTTCCGACCTTGGCAGCACCTGGCCCTTCTTCTATTGGCCGGGGACCTAGAACAATCCGACCCAAGGAGTCTCTCCTGGGAAGAAAAGCCTCTCATGCCAACAGCGGGTGTCAGCCCCCGCCTCCCCCCGTCCCCTGAGCTTTGGGAGCCCCCTCAGGCATGAACACCCTCTAACTTGGGTGTTGTTTCAGGGCATCGCTGGCTCTGATGGTCTTCCCGGGGACAAAGGTGAACTGGTGAGTGTGTCACATGGACTTCACTGTTACACTAGGGACAGGCTGGCCAGCTCGGGACCAGCCGTGGCCCAGCAAGCGTGAACAATGCCGAGCGCATCAGCGGGTCAGCGCGGTGGCCACTGCGTCCCCTGTGCTGTCCTCGGGGGAGAGCGGCCACAGGCCTGTCCTGCAGTGACACCGCCTACAGAGGCTCCATCTGTGGCCATTGGAGTTGAGTTTTAATGGAAGAAAACTGGGCTTCTGCGGAGATAGAGCTGGCCAGGTCTCCGTGGCCTCAGCTCCGGGAGCGGTCTCGGAGTGGGAGGGCCGTGCTGCCCCGCGTGGCAGGGCTCCTAGTCACCTGCCTCTGTCAGACCCACGTGGCTCAGGCAGCACCGTGTCTCCGGCCAAGCCTCACGCCCAGTGCAGACCTTTCACATCTGCAGCCAAGTAGTCTCCCTTGTGTGCTGTTCATGGTGTGAATTCCCAGACAGCCTTGCCACACGGGCACTGGAACCCACCGCCCGTTCATCTGACTGTCGGGCAGTGCCTTCGAGCCGGGAACCCTCTCGCTGTGCTCAGGCTGTGTGAGCTGAAAGCCTCGCTCCTGGTCTCCCTTTTGGCCTCAATGGGCTGTCACCCAGACGGCCGCTCGGGTATCTGGTTGGAACTATGTCCCCTTTACACCCAGGCAGGCGGCTGCCAGGGACATAGCCGGACAGGGGAATTGAGGGACAGAGCCCTGGCACGTGTGTGACAATAACCACGGAGTGGGGACAAATGAGCCAGCCCTTGGACTGCCACATGAGGAATCCTGTGCAGCGACTAACACACCTCTGGGGAAACTAAGTTAAAAAGCATCCGTAGAGCCCTGGCCGGGTGCTCAGTGGTTAGAGCACTGGCCCACACACTGAAGGGTCTTGGGTTAAATTCTTGGTCAGGCACGTGCCTAGGCTGCGGGTGACCCCTGGTCGGGCGCGTACGGGAGCTAACCGATCAATGTTTCTCTCCCTCTCCCTTCCTCTCTCTCAAATCAATAAGGACGGAGAGACACTCAGTGAGGGTTAAAGGAACGGAGCCCAGAATAGAGGGCGGGACACACGTCAGAGTCACGGTGGTTTCGTGGCTGATCTGACTTTGTATTTCATCCTTGAAGAGTCATGTGCTCGGTCAGTTCCTTGGCAACTGCTTCCCACCCAGGTAACAGCACGTGGGTCATTAAAATGCTGCCTTCCCTCTCCTGCAGGGAGCCAGCGGCCCCGTCGGACCCAAAGGCGAGGTGAGTAGCCGGCGGTCTGACAGCAAAGAGCAGCGGCCGGCCCTGCGGCCAGTCGTCGCCAACCTCGCTCCTCGGAAGCCGCGGGGCAGCCGCAGGTGGCTGCCCCCGCCCAGCGGGTCCTGTTGTCTCTCCCCAGCCTGGCAGTCGGGGGGAGCTGGGCCCAAAAGGCATCCAGGGTCCCAACGGCACCAGCGGCGTAGAGGGGGTCCCGGGTCCCCCTGGGCCCGTGGGCCTCCAGGGCGTGCAAGGTGTGCCTGGCATCACCGGGAAGCCCGGCGTCCCGGTATGTGGCCTTCCCCTCCGAGTGTGGTAGCGGGGGCCTCAGTGAGGTGCCAGCACCCCCCCCCCTTGCGCTGACAAACTTGGGGTGAATTTCAGGGGAAAGAAGCCAGTGAGCAGCGCATCCGGGAGCTGTGCGGGGGCATGGTCAGCGGTAAGTGCTCGCCTCCCGCCTGGGCTGCAGCTCCACATCCTGCCCCCGCCCTGTGCTGACTCGGGGTCCTCGGGGGCCCACGGCAGGGTCACACCATGCCTGGCACACGGGCATGTTCCCCGTGTCCACTGAAGAAAATACAAGGAGCACACAGCTGTGCCCTGTGGGCTCTGACGGACCAGTGGACAGCTGGCCACTCAGTTGCGCGGCTCTTTAAGGAGCTCTGAGAAGGTGGGGGTCTCCTCTCCGGCCTGCGCTGGCCTCGGTACGCAGAGGGGCCTGGCCGCATGCGTCACAAGCCCAGCGCCGAGCCATTGCAGTCGGTTGAGAAAGCGCCCCAAGAGGCAGAGCAGCCGTCGCTTTGCAGGACGCACTGGCCCCTCCTCCTGACTAACCGCTGCGTCTCTGTTTCCAAAGAGCAAATTGCACAGTTAGCTGCTCACCTGCGGAAGCCGTTAGCACCAGGACCCATCGGTCGGCCCGGCCCGGCAGGCCCCCCGGGGCCCCCGGGGCCTCCAGGCTCCATTGGTCACCCTGGTGGTCGGGGGCCCCCTGGATATCGTGGTCCCACCGGAGAGCTGGGCGACCCCGGACCCAGAGGTGAGTCCAGGCGGCCCCACCACAGCCCCACATGGAAGCCAGACCTGCCCTCCACAGAGCCGTCTCCTCCGCGGGGGGAGGGAGGGAACGCAGGGACCCAAGGGCATCCAGGCACGAGCCAGTGGACGTCCGGGCCTTGACTGGTTTCGGGTCCCGCCACGCTGCCCCCCTCTGTCCACACGGCCGCACAACACTCTGAAAGGCTGAGCTTTTGCTGGAAAAGCTCAGTAAATTCCTTATTCATCCGCAGGTACATTTTTAAATATGATGTTTTCTCTAATCAGAATAACGTTTGGGGAGTAGGGGTTACTACGACATGGGAGACGAATCATCAGGGCCTCTTGATACTGAATAGAATGCACCTTCATGAAAATACAACACTGCTGCTGCAAAAGGCAAAAATTTTAAAATTCAAAAACCTCCTGTGGACTATAAAGAACGAGGGAACGTAATTTAGAAAGGAGGTAAATCCTGGCATGGCCACCAGGACCCATGGAGTCGCCCCGCCACGCGGACGCCACAGGGCGCGCTGTGCCCAGACAGAAATGCAGCCTGGGGGCCCGCGACACCAGCGTGGCAGCTGCTGGCCACAGACCTTCTCCAAATGGCCCTTAACACTGAGCTCCTGTTAGAACGCGACGTTTGCCAGCACAGGCAGCCTGCGGCCAGTCGGGCTCACGATTCCAATTCCTTCCAATTTATTGACCAAATAATTGTGTTTCTGAAAGCTAGCTTAGAGATGGAGCAGTTCCAGTGGCAGAGGGTGAGCATGTCAGGTGCACCTTCTCTTCCCAGAGCGACCTAGGCCCCGAGTTACTTCCCGCCCTCCGTGGTGTTGGAGACAGGCTGGTGCCTGGATGTCTGTCCGGCACCCAGAGCAGACAGGCTTTCTTCACACAGGGATCCGAAGACCTCACGACTTCTGAAAATAAGATTCAAAACGAATTAATCACTTTTATGGATCCTCTCAGAAAACCAGCGTGGCAGTCTAACCATCACGGTCATCACACAGTCCCGTCCTGCCCGGGGATGGGCTTTGTCCCGGGAGGCGTGGCCTCACTCCTCAGGGGGCACGGGATGGTGCCCAAGGGCGGCTGTGACATTAATCTGGGAATGTGTAGTGCAGAGCCTCAGGCAAAACCAGTCAGTACTGAGCTCCCCATCCTCCAGACACACAGGTCAGGGGCACGGCAGGACCCCGCCTGCCCCGTGGGGAGGCCATTCCTGCCAGCGGTCCTAGTGGCCTGTGTGTGATGGCTGCACACTCCTCACCTGGCCGCACACTCACCTGGCCGCACACGCCTCACCTGGCCACACACTCACCTGGCCGCACACTCCTCACCTGGCCGCACACGCCTCACCTGGCCGCACACTCACTTGGCCGCACACTCCTCACCTGGCCGCACACAGCTCACCTGGCCACACACTCCTCACCTGGCCACACACGCTTCACCTGGCCTATACTGCTCACTAATGCAGAGGTGACGGGATTGGAAGGCTCCCTGACACCCATGGAGGGAGCTGGAGTTGGTCTCCTCTCCCAGGCGAAGGCTCCTCTCCCATGCTGTCTGTAAGGGTCACTGCATCAGTGCAGGTCCCGCTTACCAGGAACGTAGCTTCACACAGAGCGCAGGCCAACAAGCAGGCCTCCTGTAGACCTCGGTGTTGCAAAGACCAGAGCTCGTGGGAGGCGGTGGCCAGGATCCCACGATTAGAGGGGCATTTGAAACACCTGTGCAAAACCTGTGGGCCGTGTTGAAAATAGGGTTACAACGGAATGTCAGTCATGTGACAGGCATAAGTACGGAACAAAACCAACACCGTCAGAAATGGCCACTGGGATGTGGGCGGTCACTCAGCCAGGCTCCCGTGTCGGAGCCTTATGCGTGCTGTGTGGACTAAAGAGCTGGCCATGGGCGCCAGGTGGCTGGCAACGCCACCCCGAAGCCTTCCGCAGTCTCAACACCCGCTTCTGTCAAATCCCTGATAGGAAGCCAGGGGGACCGAGGAGACAAAGGCGCAGCCGGCGTGGGTCTGGACGGGCCCGACGGAGACCAGGGGCTCCAAGGTACAGGGCCAGTGTCTTTAACAACTTTTGTGTCTTGGCACCTTTTCCCAATTCTCTCACTGTGTGGGCAGCACTGGGTGGCAGTGTCTCAGGTCTGATGAAGGAGTTGCTTTCTCGGGCAAAGATTTTGAGGCGAGGTTCTCGACCATCTGACAACCACTTCAATACGTGAACGGTTTGCCAGTACAGGGCCTCCTGCTCCCCTTTAGTTAAGCAGACTTAAATTCTAACAGAATTTTCTCTTAATGGACCCACAAGTACCCTGAATTAAAATTTTTCCCCTGAATGTTTAAATTTTAATGTCAAATATAAGAGCTGTCCTCAGCGAAGGCCAGCCCCACCACACCCCACCCCAGCCTTCTGGGGGACTGTTTGGGGTCACTGTCATCTGCACTCACATCCTGGGAGTCCACACCACAGGGGGGCAGGGCCCCCCCAACGCGCCCCCCCGCACCCCCCCCCTCTCCTCTCCTGGCCACACCCCAGGCTCCTGGCTTCTCCTCTGCTGACCCACCTCCACCACCATCCCGTCAGGGGCCCCCTAGGTGGGAGAGTCTTTGTTGGCTCCCCCCGTCCATCCCACCCCATGCGTCCCCACCACGCACTCCTCCCACACCAATGCACTCCTGAGTGTGGAGTCGGAGCTGCCACACTCCAGACAAGACCCAGACACTGCTCCTGCCTCGCCACCTGCCCTGCCCCAGCCCCACTCAGGGGCTCTGCCCTGCGGTTCTCCGGGCCTGGGCTCTCCTCCCTGAGCTTCCAGGGTTCGGAGACAAGCCAGTAACATGGAGTGTGGGGAGGCTGCAGGTGGACGGGAAGTCCCGCTGCAACTCGCTCTCACTCCAGATCTACACTCATCTTCCTTCGCTGTCTCAAGGACCCCCAGGTGTGCCTGGTGTGGGCAAAGATGGCCAAGATGGCGCCCACGGTGAGCCCGGGCTGCCCGGAGACGCTGGCCTTCCCGGTGCTGTTGGTGCTCAGGGGACCCCCGGCATCTGCGACACCTCGGCTTGCCAAGGAGCTGTGATGGGCGGCGGCGGCGAAAAGTCAGGTCCTAGAAGCTCCTAAAACACAACCTAGGAAGTGAGCGTGACACCATTGAAGCAGTGGGCTCTGGAGGGACACCGGGGTCAGCAGTGTCCATTACTAAGGAGAGAGCAACACACCGTGCGGGACGCCCAGCGAGGCCCTGCATCCTCGGTGGTGGCGCCTGGACTCCTGGTTCCCACGAGCATGCTCCAGCTGCCAAGACGTCCTCTCTTGTGGGTGTACAGCGGCCCATGTGGCTGCAGCGTCGGACCTTGGACACAAGCCCTGTGTGGTACCAGCAGGAGGGACAGGGAGTGCAGTGTGTTCAAGCCCACGAGAAAATTCAGCAACTTGTTTACATGGCATTTGTGTACACGAAGATATAATCCCAATAAAATGATAAATTCAAATTCATGACTGACCAGTGTAACCAAAAATAAAGGATTTCACATACAGTACCCTCCATACCAAGGTCTCGACTGACCTACCTGCTTCTTTTGTGTAAAACTGTTAACTGTCTCTGACCAACAGTATTTATTGACAGTGACTTTGTATTGCACTAAGCTTGTTGTCATAAATAAAGCCACTCGTTTGAAAAACTCAGTTCTGAACAATAGTTTATTACATAAGGTACTGACTCAGTGTGAAAGCGAGGTCACCAAAGCAGCCCACGGTGACATCTCATCTATGGACAAAGGAGCTTTAAAGATGTCTCTGGAAGTTTCCTAGCAAAATTCTGCAATGCAGTCCATGTGACTGGAAGTCGTTGCAAGGGGAGGCGATAAACAAATGAAATGAATTTCCAAACTACTTCTAGTGAAGAACATTTTGACTTTTCCAATTGCTAAGGGGGCGTTTTTAAATGTAAAGGAAATAAGTAAAAAGCAGTGTACCTGTAAGACTAAAGAAATTACAAAGGGTGTTCATTTTTTAAGTTATCATGTTAAGAAAACATGATGGAATCAGACAGATAATTGAAAAATTACTAATTGTCACAGTGTCTGCATCCCAATGGTCTAAGAGGACAGTAATGGACAAATATTTTGTTTTATATTTTGTTCTAGATAAATATTTTTACAAAATGTGCTTTCAAAGTCCCCACTGGAGTTCCAACTTGAGTCATGTCCCTTGAGAGGTGACGGTTGGCGCAGAGCTCCAGGCTTGGACACGCCCACGGCCGGGCAGAGGCCGCCTGCTTCCAGGAACCAGTGTCCAGTCCGCTCACTTGATCTCCATGGCAGGGCTGCTCTGTAGACTCTCCTGCGCGGGACACGTCGCCAGGGAGTCTGGTCTGGTCAACTTTAGCCTCCTGCCAGTTTTCCCGCAAAACACACTCTCAAATTCCTACCGTTGAGAAAAGATCATTAGTCTACCAATCCATAGACATGAAAATTGCTGTCTTCGAAAACACAAAAGGTTGAAAGTAAGATCTAACCTACTTCAAAATATACAGTTAGCCCTGGCCAACGTGGGTCAGTGGTTAGAGCGTCAGCCCAAGCACCATATACATTTCCATACGTCTTGTTTTTTTTTAAGTACAGCATTCTTAATTAAATCTGGGTTTATATATTTATTGTGGCAAAATATATACAGCAGGAAGTTTACCATTTTAACCATTTGTAAGTGTACAATTCACTGCCAGTAAGTACATTCGCACTGTTGTGTTACCATCCCCTCCATCTATTTCCAAGTTTTCCATGACGCCAAACTGACACTCTGCCCAAATTAAACACTCACCCCCAGCCCCAGCATCTACCTCTGTCTCTGTGAATGTGGCTCCTCTAGGCCCTCATGTAAGTGGAATCACAGGACTTGTCCTCTGTGACTGGCTGATGTTACTTATATGTCTTCCAGGTCCCTCCATGTCGCAGTTGTCAGGACTTCCTTCATTTTTATGGCTGAGTAACAGTGCTTTGTGTGGATAGAGCACATTTTGCCTGTTGTGAATGATGCTGTTGTGAACATTTTCATACAAGTATCCATTTGGGTTCCTGTTTTCAATTCTGTGGGGTAAATACCTAGAAGTAAAATCGCTGGATCTTATGGTAGTTCTATGTTTAACCTTTCGAGGACACACCATATTTATTTTTTCTCCCCTCCACCCAGTTCCTACCCCACACTAGGCGTTCTCCACCCTATTGCTTGTGTCCACAGGTAATGCATGTACACCTATAAGATCTTCGGTTAATCTCTTCCCGTACTCCACTCACCCCTTTCCTCTGACATTCGTCAGTCTGTTCCACGTTTCCATTCCTCTGATTCTATTTTGTTCATTAGATTCCTTATTTTTTTAGATTCAATTGTTGATAGATATGTATATATTGCCATTTTATTGTTCATATTTTTTCTTTTTTTCTTTTCCTTTCTTCTTTTCTTAAAGAATACCCTTCAACATTTCATGTAATACTGGTTTGGTGGAGATGAACTTTAAGCTTTTTCTTGTCTGTGAAGCTTTTTATCTGACCTCAATTCTAAACGATAGCTGTGCTGGGTAATCTTGGTTGTAGGTCCTTGCTATTCATCACTTTAATATTTCTTGCCACTCCCCTTCTGGCCTGCAAAGTTTTTGTTGTAAAATCAGCTGACAGTCATAAGGGCACTCCCTTGAAGGAACTGCTTTTCTCTTGCTGCTTTTAAGATTTTCTCTTTGTCTTTAACCCTTGGCATTTTAATTACGATGTGTCTTGGTGTGGGGCCTCTTTGGGTTCCTTGTTTGGGACTCTCTGCACTTCCTGGACTTGTAAGTCTATTTCTTTCATCAGGTAGGGGAAGTTCTCTTCAAATAGGTTTTCAATATCTTGCTCTCTCTCTCTCTCCTTCTGGCACCCCCATAACACAAGTGTTGGTACGCTTGAGGCTGTCCCAGAGGCTCCTTATATTATCTTCAAATTTTTGGATTCCTTTTGCCCCTCTGATTGGTTGTTTTTTGCTTCCACATATTTCAAATGGTTGATTTGATTCTCAGAATCTTCTACTCTACTGTTGATTCCCTGTAAATTATTATTTATTTCAGTTAGTGTATGCTTAATTTCTGACTGGTCCTTTTTCACTAAGATCCTTGAAAATCTCACTAAGTCCCTTGAAGCTCTCATTAAGATCCTTGAGCAACCTTATAACCATTGTTATGAACTCTGTATCTAGTAGTTTGCTTGCTTCCATTTCTTTCATTTGTGATATGTTTGTCTCCGCATTCTGGCTACTTCCCTGTGTTCCTATGTATTAGATAGAGCTGCTATGTCTCCTGGAATTAGTAAAATGGCTTTGTGGATTAGGTGTCCTGTAGGGCCCAGTGGCTCAGCCTCTCCAGTCACCTGAATTGGGCACTCTAGGTGCACCCCTGTGGGTTGTGTGCAGTCTTGTTGCAGTTGAGCCTTGATTTCTGTTGGCGTCACTAGGAGGAGCTGACTTCCAAGCCAATTGGCTATGATGACCAACTGTGTCTACAATGGAAGAGCTGCTGTGCAGGAAGACACCCCACTGGAGCAGGACTTGCTTCAGTGGGGCTTTGGTGCTCACTGAGTCTGCCCCTTGACTGTGTTACTTGTGGATGTAGAGTTGCTATTCATCACTTTGGTGTGCTCTGAAGCTGTCTACTGGGTGCACTGGCTCTGGGGCCTCCCAGGGGTGCAAAGTTGGCCACTGCCTGCAGTCATCCTGCAGAAGCTAGAGAGATCTGCAGGTGGCTGAACTAGGAAGAGCTCAGGCAAGGCCCAGCTGTGAAGCAAGGCAGGCTGGTGCTGGTGCCAGGTCTTAAACCTTTTATTGATAGATTTCATGCCAGCTGCTGCTTGTTTGAGAGATTTTAGTAAAGTCTGAACCTGAGCCAGGACAGACCATTCATATGGAAAAGCCACTGCAAACAGCTTGGGTGGGGCTGCAAATTGGATGGGGCAGGGTCTCAGGGAATCACCAGGGTGGAGCAAACAGTGTGGGCCAAGGCTGATGGAAACTCATATGTGGCTGCCAGTCAGCTCTGCAACGGGGGAGGTCCCAGCACAGGAACAATGACCCCTACAAGCACCATCTGGGAGAAAGCCGCCCCTGAGCTCCTGGCCAATGCTAAACAGTCCAGTTTCTCCCTGTATGTGTCTGGGTCCCCCACCCTTGGAGCTCAGAGGAAGCGGAACCATGTAAGTTTGTGTGCGTGCCCTTTAAGAGGAACTCCTGGGTCTCCAGCAGGATTGTCACTCAGCCACAATCCCTTCCTGTTTTTACAGCCCGAAGTTATGGGGACTTCTCTTCCCAACTCTGGAACCCTGGGATGGAGGTCTGGTGTGGGGCTGGGACCCCCTGCTTCTCATGGGAGGCCTTGGAGATACCCTTCCCAATTAAAAACACGCCACTTGTGTGTGTCAGACCAGCCCATTCTGCACCTGTGCCCCTCCTACCAGTCTCAATGTGCTTTCCTCTTTACTTCTCTAGTTGTAGGACTTCCATTCAGCCAGATTTCAGGCGGTTCTGAATGATGGCTATTCTGCATTTCTACATTAGTTATAATTTTGATGTGGTTGTGAGAGAGAGCGAGTACTGGTGTTTACCTATGCTGCCATCTTGGTTCCCCCTCTGGCTGCACCAATTTACAATCCCACCAGCAATCCCAAGGGCTCCAATTTCTCCACATCTTCGCCAACACCTGCTTGTTTATTTTTTTGTTTTGTTGGGGGTTTTTCCTGTAGCCACAACCGATGAGTGTGAGGTGATATCTCATTGTATTTGCATCTCTCTGATGGGCAGTGATATTGAGCATGTTTTCATGTGCTTACTGGCCACCTGCATGGCCTCTTTGGAGAAGTGTCTTGCCAGGTCCTTTGAATCAGGTTTGTCTTTTGTTTGCTGGCTGTAGTAGGGCATAGTTCATTCATGCCAGGAAGGTAAGTGGCAGCACTCTGTGGGCACTGGCTGACCCCAGTCGTCTGGAGTGGTGGGCACTCCACTGGACTGCAGTCTCAGTGGTGTTATGACCAAGGACCCTGCCATGTGCAGCTTCGCTCAGAAGCCGTATCTGTATATAAATATACTCTAAACTTTGTAAGGTTTTAGTGCAACTTAAGACAAACCACATTTTGATAATTCCCTATGTTCTGATACCCAAAGCCCAAGTATAAAATATCTGCCTATATTTGAAAGGGTAGAATTTACCTTTTTAACGAAATTGAAGAGAAACATCAATTTATTGTTCCACTCATCCATGCATTCATTGGTTGATTCCCGTATGTGCCCCAACCAGGGATTAAGCCACAACCTTGGGTGCATTGGGATGATGCTCCAACCAACAGAGCTTCACGGCCAGGGCTAGAATTTAGCTTTAAAATAACCAAATAAAGCCCTGGCTGGTGTGACATCCTGTGCACTGAAAAGTTGCCAGTTCAATTCCTGGTCAGGGCACATGCCTAGGTTGCAGGTTCGCTCCCCAGTCAGGGCGCATGGAGGACGCAACCGATCTATGTTCTCATCTCATTGTCTCTCTCTCTCTCTCTCTCCCCCTCCCTCCCTCCCTCTTCTTCCCTCTCTCTGAAATCAATAAAAACATATTTTAAAAAAAACTAAATAGAAGTCAGAAACAAAACAGCCATTTCTCAGATGGAAAAAAGGTACTTGGAGAGATTTTCTAAGCCATCTTCGCACATGAGGCTAACCCCGGGCACATCTTTAATTTTAGTATTTTGCCAGAAGTGGGTTGAGCCATGCTCCATCTGGACTCTCCCAGGGTCCCGGGGAACCCCAGTCCCTGGGAGTTGGGGTGACTGTGAAACAGTGAGACAGGGGCCTCCTTAACCCTCCTCAGCTAGTCACTGTCATTCTGCTCTCTCAATTAGCATCTGTTTTCAACCAAACAAGTGAAAAGGCTGAGTTTTAAGGGATTTTTACAATTTATCAGAACACCTTAACATGACGTCTGGCCAAAGTTGATATTTGCGTTAGATTTGTAAGTATGAGAATGCCAATAACAAAAACTGTACTTCTTAAGAAGAAGGGGGTGTTCTAATTACATGTCAGGAAATGACACCAGGAAGTTCTGAGTAAGAACTCATGTCAGTAGAGACAAAGGGTTAAAGACACATGGAGGGTCTTCAAATTGATACAACAGCCACACAGGAAGGAGACAGAACAAGGAATGTGAGGGCCTAACAGAGCTCCGAACTGTGTGACACAAACAGAATTCAAGGGGATGACAAAGCCGATCTCAGCGGGAGATGTCACACAGGCCTCTGGGGACCAGAGGGGACAAAATCACAATTCATAATCTTGACCTAATACAAACAAGGAAATTCACCCAATGAAGGGTGCATGTTCTTTCCAAGTGACCACAGAACCATAAAAAATTGACCACAGCCCTAGCTGGTTTGGCTCAGTGGATAGAGCATCGGCCTGCGCACTGAAGGGTCCCGGGTTCAATTCCAGCCAAGAGCACATGCCTGGGTTGCAGGCTCAATCCCCAGTGTGGGTATGCAGGAGGCAGCCGATCCATAATTCTCTCTCATTGTGGATGTTTCTCTCTCTCTCTCCCTCTCCCTTCCTCTCTGAAATCAATAAAGATATTTTTTTTTTTAAAAACTGACCACAGGAGAGGTCACATGGTAGTCTCAATGAACCTCAAAACTACTTTCTATACAACCATCTTCACTGATCACATTGTGAGAAACAGACAGGAAGAATGAAAATCTGTGGAAAATGAAAGCCCTCCTTTGCAGGGTTCATGCGAAGAGACAAACCAAGGACATCAGAGATACTTGGAGACGATGAGGCATTACCCTAGGCCAGTGATGGCGAACCTATGACACGCGTGTCAGAGGTGACACGCGAACTCATTTTTTGGTTGATTTTTCTTTGTTAAATGGCATTTAAATATATAAAATAAATATCAAAAATATAAGTCTTTGTTTTACTATGGTTGCAAATATCAAAAAATTTCTATATGTGACACGGCACCAGAGTTAAGTTAGGGTTTTTCAAAATGCTAACACGCCGAGCTCAAAAGGCTCGCCATCACTGGGCTATGCTGGGGGTGTTTTCCAAGGAGCACGGAGACCGGTCTGCTCTATATTCACTGACCAAGAGGGGAGAAAGGCTGAAAGTAAATGAAGTCAGCTTGCAACTCAAGCACCAGAAAACCTAAACTTATAAAGAAGGAAAGAGAGGTACGGTTTAAAAATAATTAACATAAAAGCAAATTATGATAGAAAACACATTCCTACTGACTCTCCTGTTCCTAACCCAAGAGGCCAGAACAGACCAGGACTGGTGCTCTGGGAGGACCCACAGCAGAGCCAGGACACTGGGTAAGGGACAAAGGAGCAGGAGTGACGGAAGAACGGAAGCACGAGGGAGAAGCGAGCACATCAGCACGAAGCTGTGAGCACTCCCCAGGAGGGCCTCCCCACAAAGTGCCAGCCACCAAGCCAGGGGGCCCCTCTCCTGCCCTGGGAGCGAGGGTCCTGTTGGAGGGGAGGAGGGAGGGATCATGTGCACTCACTGAACACAGGGATCAGTGACCCCTGTGCACCAGTGGTGAGATCCCCAGCTGCTCCGCTCCCGGACTGTTTGACGGGGGGGGGGGCGTTATAGAAGGAGGGAGGGGAGAAGGTGCCTCAAGAGAAGCAGGAACACCAGGGAGGGTGGTGACCTGGGGACTGGCGGCGGAGGTCAAGGTCAGGTCAGCACAATCACCTTTGAACCATCACTGGCTAAACAGGCACTAGGCAGTCAAAGGCAATTGGAGAAAGGAGATGGGACAGGCAATTCCTTTGAGCGGTGCAGCTGAGCAGCAAGGAGGGGGATAGTTGCTGGCAGGGGGCATGGGCCCAGTTCTCGCAGGGGAGTAACTACGGGACAAGTAACAGCACCTCTGCCCATAATCCCAAGCAGGTACTGAAGGACAGTGACCATCTGGCAGAGCTGTCCCGTCCCCCGACTTCAGGTGGAACCAGAAAGGGCACAGCAGAGAGGCAGGGATGAATGACAGTCTGGGGAGCCCCGTGACCTTGGACTGGATTCTGAGTGGGGGCACCCCGGGACAACAGGTGCAGTGTGAATGTTGCCCCTGAACTACTGGTAACAGTGTCGGTATAAAGTCCTGTCTCTGACCACGTGTTCTCACTGAAACACACACAGAAGGCCAGGTGCAAAGCGGCCTTTTGCCTGCAACTCACTATCAAAGGTTCAGCAAAATACAGATTCTGCACAGAATGGAGCAGATGGGGCAATATGCCAACAGCTGGCAGCTCTGGGCGAAGCCAGGAGGGTATATGAGGGGCTCTCAGTCCTATTCTTGTCATTCAAGTTTGAAGTTGCATCGAATTTTAAACTGCCATAGTAAATAAATAATAAAGTGAGCCATCTAAGTGCAGAGTTCTTCTGACACCTGGATGCCACAATAACTAATGGAGGGACCCCCAGTTAGAGGCCGCAGAATATAATGAAATGCAAACCCCATGGCTTGGTCACTGGTTCAGGGAAAAAACACAGCTGAGTCATTTTAAAAGCAGTTTGGGGACATGTGACTATTAGACATCAGAGAACTACAATCAATGTGGGAGGCATGACAATGGCCTGGGGAGGAAGGGGCATTAGGACACACGAGCAGACATTCAACGGAGAAGGGTCACGTCTGCAGGTGTCTTTGAAGTCACCTAGCAAATGTGATGAGGCTGGTGATGTGCACAGGCATCTGCTATGCAGCAGGCTCATCAGAAAAGTGACAAAGCCAAGCACCCACTCGCTGACAAGGACCCACCGGTCCATGCAGACTCGCCTGTCGTCCTGGGCACTAAACAGTCTGGGAAAGACCATGGGTTCCGCCCGCCCACCCTGTTTCTCCCTGTCCACCCAGCAGCTCAAGCCAGAACCCCGAGTGCTCCCCAATTCCTCCTCCAGCACGCCCACATCACAGCGAGCACGGGCCTCTGGCTCCCACCACAGCGCCCAGCAGTCTCGGTGAGCGGCTCTCAACCAGGGTCTTCACCTTCTCTCCCCCCAAACCTCTCCTACCCAGAGTCCAGGCTCCTCACACAGCAAAGCGTCCATCACAGCGTGCCACTCTGGCCTGACCCCTCAAGGCTGTGGACACCTGGCCTCAGACGCGCGCCGCGGCAGGGCCCGCACGGCAGTGTCCCCTCTTTTGAGACCGGTAGGAGAGGTCCGGGGGGGAGAGAAGGTGAAGACCCTGGTTGAGAGCCGCTCACCGAGACTGCTGGGCGCTGCGGTGGGAGCCAGAGGCCCGTGCTGGGGACGCCCCCCACACGCCAGCGGGGTCTCCATATATTTAAAGTATGAGCAGAAGCCTGGTTGGAGCAGGAAAGGTTTGTGGAATTCGATGTGTACTAAGAGAACTCAGGAAAATTACTTCAGCCTCTCATGCACCGTATTCTGAGAACAAAGACATCCACGCGAGCAGGAGGGGGAGTTACTGAGGAACAGTGAGGCCCACAGCGTTCAGGCCGGTGATGGCGAACCTATGACACGTGTGTCAGAGGTGACACACAAACTCATTTTTTTGGTTGATTTTTCTTTCTTAAATGGCATTTAAATATATAAAATATATGCAAATATCAAAAAAATTTCTCTATGTGACACGGCATGGTTGCAAATATCAAAAAATTTCTCTATGTGACACGGCACCAGAGTTAAGTTAGGGTTTTTCAAAATGCTGACACGCCGAGCTCAGAAGGTTCGCCGTCACTGGGCTGGGCCGTTTGCCTCCCAATTCCCCCCGGTTGCTGACTGGCGTCACTCCGGCCTGTTTCTTGATGTTCCTATGATCTGCTGCAGAAACACTCTACAAATTCAATATAATTAAATTTTAGAAATGCCCAGGATCATACTGTCCATAAAGTATAATTCCTATAAATCAATCTGAGAGTGTGTGTATATTTAACAAGGTTTTTGCTGTTGTAATGCCTTCATCATACTTGAATGAGTTCTATCAATAATTTTCTAATAGGTACACAGAGCCAAACATTAAATCATTTAAAAAGTGTAAAAGCTTTATTTTATTAAAATAACCCAAAAAAATAAAATAACCCCACAGTCTACCCCTAACAAACAGTGTTAAAGAGCAACTGCATGACAACCATAAATGATCCGTTAGAGCAGTGGTTCTCAACCTTCTGGCCCTTTAAAATACAGCTTCAAAGGGGTCGCGACACACAGGTTGAGAACCGCTGGTAGAGGGAATCTGACATAAGCATTGCTTGGAAATGCAATTAAATAGACAATGAGAACCAGGACAGAGATGAAATATGAAGCTCACACGACGCAGACAAGGGAAGCAGAGCAACTCAGCATGGCCCAGCCACGCTTGCAGCGTCCAGCATCTGGACACAGGAGGCTTTTTTTTTTATTTAAATCCTCACCCAAGGATGTTTTCATAGTTTGGTGTTTGTTTTTTTTAAGAGAGAGAGGAAGGGGGTAGGGGAGAGAGAAACATCGTTGTGAGAAACATCAAACAGCTGCCTCCTGTACACACCCCGACCAGGAATCAAACCTGAAAACTAGGTATGTGCCCTGACCAGGAATCAAACCCACAGGCTATTGGTGTACAGGACGACGCTCCAACTGACTAAGCCCCAGCCAGGACATGAGGCTCTTTTTAAAAAGGATCCATGTTTATCACACCAACCTCAGCTTGGCTCGCCAATCAGACTCATGCTGCGGCTCACTTCACTAAAGCCTCCTTATCCGTCAGCCTGACTGCTAGCTCTGCAGCCAACACGGGAGCCCTGGTGTCCGGAGGAACACAGAAGCCACAGCTGACACCTCCTGCGTTCTCTCCTCTGAGCCAAGGAAGGGGCGGACAAAAACCACACCAAGCATTAGGTCCTATGGGACCCCAGCTCATTCACTCACTGGGAACCCAACAGATGGTCAAGGACATGCTGGCCCGAGCCCCAGGTCACCCAGTCACCCAACCCACACAAGTGTCTCTCTTTCTGCCTTTGGAGGCACTGAAGTCCAGACCATTTACTTGACATTTATCTGCCCTTTGCTTGTTTTATCCCTTTGGGTTTCCTGAGGGCAAAACCACTGCCTCCTCCAGTCTCTGAAAGCCCCCCTCGCCCAGTCCAATCCACCACACACAGCAGGTGCTCAGCCTGTCTCGAGGGAGGCCCCCGTCATCTCCACTATCGGAGTGAGCAGGCCAGGCGGAGACCACTTGAGCACACGCCACGAGCAGAGCTCTTGCTCACAATGACTCCGTAACGTCTGATTCCAGGACACAGAGGACAGTTTGGGATCTTCAGGGAAAAGGACACATAAGAACACTGATAAGCTAACAAACTCCTAAAACTCACCTGGCCTCAATACTCACCTTAATTTAATATATTTTTATTGATTTCAGAAAGGGAGGGAGAGGGAGAGATAAAAACATCAATGATGAGAGAGAATCACTGATCGGCTGCCTCCTGCACACCCCACACTGGGGTTTGAGCCCACCACTTGGGCATGTGCCCTGACCAGCAATCGAACTGTGACATCCTGGTTCATAGGTCGACGCTCAACCACGGAGCCATGCCAGCCGGGCAATACTCACCTTCTTAAGAGAATCTCCATGGCGCTCCTGAATGTACTTTAGGAACGCAGTGGTCCACTGCAGGGTCGTGGCCTTATCTGTCTCGGCATTGCAGAACGGGACCAAAAGATTCAACTCATCACAGCAAATGCGGATTCTGCGCCTACAGCAAAATCCAAAGCAACACAGAGAATCTGAAGCAAACACAGAGCTGAGCAAATGTGTGTGTCACTTGAAGAGTCAGAGCTCAGGGGCCTGGCACCAAGTGCACGGGCAGAGGCCTGTCTCCCCAGGACCTGGTGCTCTTGACTGCCCTCACCCAGGCTCCTTCCCTCGGCCACTCCTGCCCTGGGCACCCTCCTCGGGGAGCTTCCCTATTTACTTCCCAGAGGCCAGATTCAAGGGTCTAGACCAGTGGCCGGCAGACTCATTGGTCAACGGAGCCAAATATCAACAGGACAACGATTGAAATTTCTTTTGAGAGCCAAATTTTTTAAACTTAAACTATATAGGTGGGTACATTGTTATTAACTTAATTAGGGTACTCCTAAGCTGGCCTTTGCTAAAAATGTCCTCAATCTGAGGGGTCGACCTCAGCGAACGTACCCCGACTTCTTCTAACGTCACTTCTTCAAAATAGACTCGCCCAGGCCAAAAACTGACTTCTGTGCATGGGCCACGAAGTTTCAATCGCACTGTACGCGCGCCCGCACGTGGTATTTTGTGGAAGAGCCACACTCAAGGGGCCAAAGAGCTGCATGTGGC